TTATTTCTGTATTTATTTATACATTAATGTAGTAATTTATAATATTTCTAATTAAGTCATTTTTCGTCCTCCATAGCTGTTGTCACAACGGCTGTTAGGACGATTAATATTTTAATTTGAAGTTATTTACCGGAGGTTCGTTCTACGTTGCCTAGCAGCTACTTACCCAAAACGCTTTACTGGTAACGAACACTCTCCGGTAAGTTGTTTTAATTGAGTATTGAAATGTTAAAGTCATCAGTTAATAGTAAAAATAGGCAGTGATGTAAAATACAGTTTTAATCGTTTAAGTTGCAAACATGTGTGTCATTGTTAAGTTTTAGGCTGAGCTCAAATACGGGGGGGTTGAGAGACGGGAGCCGTTATGAGAGACTTGGCCGCTAGCTAGTCGACATCGAGACCAGTCTGAGGGAAAACTGGTTTATGCAGTGCACTTAAAAGTAGTGTTGACTTTTTAGGAAAATGTCTTAGGATGCACAGACAGGTCTAGGCATGTGTGCCATTGTTAAGTTTTAGGCTGAGCTCAAATACGGGGATAAAAAGCCCGCCCAAACATGTATTGTTTCTGAAAGGTGATGTCTAGAGATTAACGGTATTTGCTGTTAGCAAGGTGACCATTTTTGCTAAATCTCCTCGTGCTGATTTGTTGGGTTGCTTTTTATTCGGTTTCACACGCTGTTCAACTGGACTCTGTACATTTTTTATCTTTAATACCCTGAAATGGCGTCGCTCTGTTTCCCACAGGACACCGCTAGTCTTCCACACTTGTACATTCACCGATTGCTTGCAGTGTTTTGATAACATTTCTCTTACTGCAACAATTTGTGCTGAAAAATCTTGTATCGATTTGCATTGTTGTTTAATAAAAGCATAAAATAACATTTCTCTCCCCGAGGACGCTCGTCTTTGTCTCCATAGTAACGCGGCGGGCGCTGGGCTTCCTGCAAGGCGGCGGAAACGGAGAGGAACGACAATCATCGATCTCTCTCTCCCCGTGAAAACAAAATCAGTCGAAGATGGTAAAGTATCGATACCAACCTTGGTTTCGGTATCGATCAATACTTGCGCATCAGTTTCTCTTTTCTACATTGAGTACACAACCCCTGTCACGCCATAGTGGTTGCGCCATCTAGTGATGGCCGTCTGACACCGATGCTCAGAAACTCGAAGCAGCATTTTCCTTGGACCACAAAGCCTGTTTTGGTGCCGGAAAAATGGTGACCGATCAAGTCTGAATCACGTGACTATACCAGGCGACACTGCTTCATAGCGCGAGATGCGTAGTAACGAATCTTCATCCCACTTACATGATCACACCCTGCACTAAACGTCTAAGTTTTTGTCAGCATACCTGAAATGGTTCAATACAGATTCATCACTTCAGTTGCACATCACTACCTCTCACTTTGTCCTTCCCCCTGTCCTGCTGTGAGTTGTCCTACAGTTAACTCAGTGACGTTCTGCTGGCTGCATGATGGCAAAGGAAAAGAGGAGCTCTGTTTGGAGCTATTTTACAGCTGCAGACAAAAACACTGCAAACTACGATGTCTGTGGACAACAAATCCGCTATTGTGGCAACACAACAAATTTATAGAAACATTAAAACACACCAGAAAGAGAACTCCGAGCTGCAAAGTAAAGGGAGGGAGCAGGAGGGAGATCCCCAAACCAGGCCCCAGGCACCCAGACACATATCACTGGCAGAGGCCTTTCAACATGGTCAACAATATCCAGGCAGCTAATTTATAGAAGTGAAAATAAGATTTAGTCACCCCAAGCATTACTTAGTTATTTTTCAAAGTGGAATTGGTCATCAGAGTTGTAATTTTAGCAGGCTGATTAAATATAGACTTCAGACAGTCATAGAACATATTCAGCCAGCTGAAATAAATCTAAATGAACTATTTTACTGGAACTGAAAAGAAAAAGTATCGGTATCGCCAATACTGGCCCTGTATCTACTTGGTATTTGATCGATACCAAATTTTGCGGTATGGTACACCACTAGTAAAGAGCACAGGGCTGCGTCCAGGACCACAACACCATTATAGGTAGAGGGAGAATGAATCAGTAGAGGTGGAATCTGTGCTCTGCTGTTTTGCTTCCTTGAGTCAGATGCTGCTGCCTTTCCTTTCTTCTTTCACTGTCTGTTCCCCTACTTGTGTGCAGTATATAGATCATTTGATGCTAATTTAAACTGTTCTGACTTGCTCAATGCGTTAGTTTTAATAACAATGCAAAATCTCTCTTTGGTCTGTGTTACAGCTATTTCACAGCATATTCATATACCAGTAACACCCAAGCATGACTTCATCCAGCGGCGCCTCCACCTTTCCCCCCTTCAAGTTCTGCCCGCGCAGAGAGATTGTGGATTGGCGTCGCATTAATGCAGTGGACATCGACCTGGTGGCGAGTCAGATAGATGTGGATGCTCTTCAGGAGCACTTAACCACAGTGACTTTCTGCAGCTTGGACGGGGAGCGATGCCAGCGATGCCAGAGCCCCGTGGACCCGGCTCTGGTCAAGCTCTTCCGGCTGGCCCAGCTCACAGTGGAGTGGCTCCTTCACTGCCAGGAATGTCTCACCCTCAAACTGCGTGCGGTGGAAGAGAGGCTGACAGCTTCCAGCAAGGAGTGTGAGCAGCTGCTGGCTCAGCAGAAGGAGCAGGAGGAAAAGGTGAAGATGCTAACCAGCGAGCTCAAGCAGAGGAAGAAGATTATTCGCACCCAGCAGTCCATGTTCGCGCCTCAATCATCAGCAGCCAGAAGGTACTGCTGACACATTAGACATTCATTCTCTGTTGGTTACCATTTCCATTTCACATATGTATGGCCCCAGGACCGCTTGCTCCGTTATCCCCACCCACCTTCAATCCTCCTCCTCAAGCCCCATGCTCTGTTATTGTTCCCAAGATCAATTCACAGCTCTAGCTTTGTGTATTTCGCACTAGGTTTTGTAGGGGAAAAGGTAGGTAGTTAATCTTTGTCATAGCTGTTGTTGTTTGTTCTAAAAATAATTATGTACTGTCAAACCTACCATAGCAGTGCTGTTCTCTTTTAGTTATAAGCTTTGTTTTCACACTGGAAGAAAAGTGTTTAGAGCTGCAGAGCAGATGGTGTCATGTGGTGACAATTAGTGTTTTTTTAATCCACTTACAAAAGTGCGACAAGAGCAGTAATCACAATGACTGACTTCCACCTGCCCCACAATCTTATATATACCATATGTCCCTGTAGAGTGTTTTGTCCTTTGAGTGTGTCATTGAAGACATTTGTGTATATTAGGTAGTGGTGGTTGATCTGTTGAAAACATTTGCCTGCTAATATTCTTTCTACTAGGTAGCGTGGCCCAGTTGATATTAGGTTATTTATAGCACATATATCAAAATCTCCCTTTGTTTCTCGGGTGTGTGGCTGCTGCTGACCTGGCCAGGAAGTTGCCAGGGCAACAGATATAATGTGTCATGACAGCATGTGGTTGCTAGGTGTGGGCTAGCAGCTCAGCTAACAGAGGCGGTTCAATAATTGATAGACGGCCTGTGTGTGTGTGTCCTTTGGCATTTACTGCTTGTCATAAGTAAAGTCCACAAAAACCAATTAAACACACAGAGCTGCCCTTGAACAGTTTCCACAGTTATTCTATCAATGAGGCGCACTACCTTCTCATGGTAGTGCCCCTGCCCCCACCCCCCATGTCATGAATTTCTTCTACCACATGGTGTGATATCGGTAGCAGCAGTCACAGTCACAATGAGCTGCAGAGTTAAATGTGGCACATGTGTGTGTGTGTGTGTAGCAGAGGCAGCATCTGTTGGTGGCACCTGTTACACTGACCAAATCAACATCATTAATGCTATCTGTCTGCTTGGAGACAGTGGATAGTCCTGTTAATCAGCTTCCTTACAGTATGTTGATCTGGGTAGTGCCTGAAACTACTCACTCCTTCACTCATTCACTGCACGACTTAGCAGTGTATGAGCTTTTAGACTCTTACAAAGTCTCATCATCTTGTGTTGTCCCTAACGGAAAATACTATGGACACTCCTGCTTGTTATATTTTGGGAATTTCAGAGGGCACTCTATAGCATATAAATGTCATGCTGAGGCAAATAAAATAGCACAGCATACCGTGTTTAGTGCACTTTATAATAGAGGTAAAACAATTAGTCAGTTGTTTGTAAAATTCATCTACAGCTATTTTGAATCAGAATCTGCTTTATTGGCCAGGTGTGTTGGACACACAAGGAATTTGACTCAGGTACATCGACTCTCAATGTGCAAACAGTAAACCAGCATAAGGCTGTGTAATATAACAAAAATAAGCAGTATTTACAAGCAACAACCAGTGCAACAACCAATGCAGAAAAAGCAGCATAAACAGACAGTAACCAATGCAGACAACAAAGGAATGTTCATTGAAATGAGATAAATAGGGATAAAAACAGAGTACTTAAAAACTAAGAGACCTGTACGAGTCTGTATAATCTGTACAATGTATATTTACATTGTAAAGGTTTATTGTCCACTCATATGGTCATTGGTTAAGTGTTCATCAGAGTGACAGCCTGGGGGAAGAAACTGTCCCTGTGCCTGGTTGTCTTGGTGCACAGTGACCTGTAACGCCGTCCAGAGGGGAGGAGTTCAAACAGATTGTGTCCAGGGTGTGAGGGGTCAGCAGTGATCCTCTCCACCCTCCTTTTGACCCGTGAGGTGTACAGGTCCTCCATGGAAGGCAGGCTTACACCAATAATCTTTTCTACAGTCGTGACTGTCCGCTGAAGTCTGTACTTGTCCTGTTTGGCTGCTGAGCCAAACCAGACAGTGATAGAGGGGCAGAGAACAGACTCGATGATTCTTCTGTAGAACTGTTTCAGCAGCTCCTGGGGCAGGGTGGACTTTCTGAACGGTATCAATGAGGCGCACTACCTTCTCATGGCAGTGCCCCTGCCCCCACCCCCCATGTCATGAATTTCTTCTACCACATGGTGTGATATCGGTAGCAGCAGTCACAGTCACAATGAGCTGCAGAGTTAAATGTGGCACATGTGTGTGTGTGTGTGTAGCAGAGGCAGCATCTGTTGGTGGCACCTGTTACACTGACCAAATCAACATCATTAATGCTATCTGTCTGCTTGGAGACAGTGGATAGTCCTGTTAATCAGCTTCCTTACAGTATGTTGATCTGGGTAGTGCCTGAAACTACTCACTCCTTCACTCATTCACTGCACGACTTAGCAGTGTATGAGCTTTTAGACTCTTACAAAGTCTCATCATCTTGTGTTGTCCCTAACGGAAAATACTATGGACACTCCTGCTTGTTATATTTTGGGAATTTCAGAGGGCACTATATAGCATATGAATGTCATGCTGAGGCAAATAAAATAGCACAGCATACTGTGTTTAGTGCACTTTATAATAAAGGTAAAACAATTAGTCAGTTGTTTGTAAAATTCATCGCAGCTGTTTTGATCATCATTATCTGTTTAAGTCAACTTTCTAGAAATAATGACAGCCTATTTGATGGTTCCAGCTCCTAAAATGAACCCTAATCATGTTCCATTTTATTAAATAAACAGTTTATTTTCCCCCATGGGCTGCGTGTATTTGTTTTACAGTAGAAAATCTTTAAGGTTTTTTTGCTACTTTTATTGAAGGAACAAGAAAGTAAATAATTAGAAGATTAATCAATAATGAAAGTGTCAGTTACTGTCACATTATGCAGTAAATAGTATTGTAGCCATGAGATCACTGCATATAAACAACACTTGGTTTTGTTTTCTGTAATTATAATAATATAATATAGTTATGCTGCATATGTGTTGGATCATGAAGATGTATTTCTACATAGCTTGTATTTTGTCTGCTTGGTGACTTCTGTGTATATTGTCATCAAATTCAGACCAATTACAATTACAATTATCAATTACACTTCAGTTCATATAAACCATCCGTGCAGTTTGTTTATTGCTGCAAAAAAAGGAATCACCATATTCAGTGTTTGAGAGCTGCTTTCTCTGTGAAAAATGCAAAAGCTGATATATTAATTTCTTTCTTTTGTTTGTTTCTTTCAGTGCCGACATTGTGAGAAGCTCTTCCTTAATGCCTCCTTTCTCCAGAGTCACACGCAGCGTCACCACCCTGACAAGTAAGAGATGCATAAGTCAGCCAGTCCCAAAAAAGTTCAGCAGTTTTAGAGAGATAGAGGAGTCAGATAAAGTACCAGGTTCAGGAACTCAGGGTGAGATAATGGACTCTCACTGCATAGCTTTGGTGTACAATGCTGCCAAGTCCATCCATCCATTTTCCTCTGCTTATCCGGGACTGGGTCGCGGGGGCAGCAGTCTAAGCAAAGATGCTCAGACTTCCCTCTCTCCAGACACTTCCTCCAGCTCCTCCGGGGGCATGCCAAGGCGTTCTCAGGCAAGCCGAGAGACATAGTCCCTCCAGCGTGTCCTGGGTCTTCCCCGGGGCCTCCTCCTGGTGGGACATGCCCGGAACACC